GGATCAGTCCATGGTGGAATCACACCCACAGTGACAATCAAAACGTGATTAAATGAGGAGCAAACTGAAATGATCATCCCCACTAACCTGAAGCCAATTATATATTTCATTTACATATATAAATGAATGCTGCTCATTGTCTCATGTTGCACGTTTAAACTTTCACATATACTACTGATATATACGTATATATATGATAAAAGTCCCCATAAACAATCTAATGAGGCAAGTGCCTTCCTGACAGTAATAGATTTTACAGTTACCTTACAGTAAAAATGCAATAACAAAAAACAGGCGGTGCGGCGAGATAATTGGGTTTTAATGAATAATCAGCTAATCATATTTATGTTTCATGTTTATTTGGCATCTTCTAGCCACTCGCTCCGGTTTCACGGGTCATTTGAAGTGAATGTCGGCAGAGCATTTTGCACGCTGGAACGACAAGCTCCCCAACTGATTAAAACGACATTGGCTGCGAAATGTCATTCATGCACAACGCAAACCTGGTGCACTAACCAGTGCAGCGGTCATCTGCGGTACACTGGTTAGATAAAACAACTAATAAATAATATTTTAATAAACCTACTGGGGATCTAAATAACGCACAGACACTTAGCATAGGAACACCGCCCGCCAACGTAATACAGTTCGTCCTGCATGCTCCCAGGCGTCCATTTTATAAATATTAGCAATTAGTATAAATCAAACCAGCTCGATTACTGTGCACGGGTTAAACTAATCCCGTTTGACTTGCTACCGATCCTTGCCTAGCTAACAGGAGATGACCGTCGGTATTATTTATAAAGCGACACGCCTTCGTTGAGGTTTTGACAGTGCCACTGTTTTAATTCAAGAAAAAAAAACACGCTAATGTGTTTTGAGCAAGCATATCGACAATGGTGCATTTATCCTTTAATTTCTGCGGAATGAGGGGCCTAGCTGGACGCACGCCTCCTCGGCACTCCCCATACGGCAAGTCTCCCCCATTCACTCACCTCCCCCGCGTTGGCGGTGCCGCTTGGAGTCGGCGATCGCTGCAGGGTGACGAGCGCCATAGCCGGGGAAAGGAGCGCCGTGCACGGCGATGCTCACAAAACAGGAGTCGGAGGCGCGGGCTGTCCACGCCGGTGTCGCCGCTGTCCCCCTACAGTGGACGCGCAGGTCCGCTTTGTTAAACCTAACCCTCCGATTCTACCATGATGGCAAATCCATCGTCCGCTATCGGCAGTCTGCCGCTCCCCGTTTCTTTTGTATGGTGAAAAACTACGGATTCGACGACATCACGAACACATGAGTTTCTACTCCACACAATAAGTTACGTTTCATTGTGCGGGATGAGACGCAGAGGGCGGATGAGCGTGATGAGAGGCAGACGGACAGCGCACGGCAGCGCCGGGGTGATGCTGCGCGGATGTCCCGTGCGTTCGGGAATGCGCCTTGCGGCTGCTGCACCGAATCACTGATCCGAAAGGACAGATATGACATAATCCATAAACACGTAAAAAACATGTTTCGGATCTAACGACTCTGACAGCCTTCATTTTAATATGCGTTAATCACATATAAATCACATATAAACTGAAATTCCAAATTAATAACATCTAAGGTGCTTCGTTTTCCAGGTATATTCTAACTCAGATTCGATTTCCTAAAACGAAAATAAATCATTTATATGATCCATAAAATGTAAACATTTCAGGGTCCTCTCCGTATGATTCCGAACAGCTTCTTTAAGATGACCGGTATTTACTGGTGATTGAGTTAAGGTCGAAAGGTGAGTTGGTAGGTAAGTATAGGTGTATTTAATTGGTCGCTGGAGGCTTTTCTGCAGCAGTTCTGGGTGGATACAATAGTTTCAACGACGACACAACAGGCACACAATGAATACAACCCACAATTAATAAATACATTGCAATACAATACAAAACATATACACAACTACACAAACATTAAACAGGATTAAACTGAAGTGGATTTGGACTCGATTTGGGATCAAATCACCAGGTGTAGGAAACGTTAAGGAGACTGATTGCCTGTGGCCCCTGGGGGGGTGGGGGTGGGGGTTGAATGATTCCAGGGCTCCTGATGACAGGGAACATAATTGGATTGGTAGTCTTTTTTTAATGAACTTACTCAGGCAACAGACATGCTCAGAGTTGATGCTACCCATCAGAGCACAATGGCAAGGACAAACACATTGGATACCACTGAGCAGCAAACATGGATAAATATCACTGGCGATATACAGAAAAAACAACCCTGCATTCGACCAATTCAGAGGATGTCATCGATTCTAAGACACCACAAAGTACGGTGAGGGCATGGCGCCCAAACATTTGCGTGTGGAAGTCATGGTTGGGCTCTAATAAAACACCATAAGCCATCAGCCCACCCCATCTCTACTATTTTAAATGGCTGTGGCAGACATTACAGGACCCAAACCTCGTTAAGGAATAAAGCCTCCTCTGACTGTTCTTGCAGAGTGAATCTGTTATTAGCACAGTCTAGTTAGCTGTGCGTTTGCACCACCACAGTGACTGGGCTGGCACCCCACCCTAATTACTGTATTTCCCTGCCTTGCAGCCCTGAATAGCACAAGCGGGTACAGAAAATGGATGGGTGACTGGAGACAGAGAACAATAGAAGTCCTTCTTGATGTGTAGCTGCAGGTTGGTACTGCACTAAGCCAAAGTCCTTCATCAACTTCTTACACTCGTGTTCATCACCCCTGTCGATGCTGGCCACAATGCAGTAGTCATTGGGAAACCTCTTCCATCTACAGCAGAAACAGGTGATGATCAATGTATCATTTCACTGTATTTTTCCATATGAATATTTAAGCTTTAGGAGCATTAACGACTGAGGTGGGGTTAAATTCATCCTGCCTAAGAACCAGGATGAAAACTGAGATGGAGCTGAATATGTGGTTCCGAACATTGTCTGTTGTGCCACAATCATAGGTTTTTTTTGCCATGGTATGTGTCTAATGTGATGTTGCTCTCTGTGTTTCATGTTATGGGCAATGTTGATTTGATCTTACCTACCAGGCTGTACCGAAAGCAAATTCCACTGACCTTGGTTGTGTGGTTGTTAAAAATTACTCTGGTTCCCCAAGCTGGGTTTAGGAACAGCTTGCTGTGGTTAGCTACGGGTGGATAAATTGTTATGAAAACAATAATATGTATCTGCCAGTCTGTAAAAATAGATTTTTTAAGTCTCCTGTGTCCATGAAGAAAAACTAACACTAATTAACAAACTAATTAGTGAATTAATTAACTGTGACTAACAGTATTAGAAACTGTAGCTCTGCTTTTTATAGCAGGCAGCTTGGAATCCCCTGTGATGAAGGGAGCTGATGAAGACAGGCGGCCCTAAGGACTTCCCCGATTGTCAGCTGCTCCTGAGCGCCACCCAGTGACAGATTTGAGAACAGCCTGTCATCGCAGAAACTCATTTACATACATTGCTGCACTACGCATGTTTGTTTTATGTGTTTGTGCATGAATGTGGGCACCATCTCTACCTGGATGGTTGCCGAATATGCAAATATATTATTTGCTTTTTTTTAGGTTAACTCGAGTTCGCAAAATGAATAAAGCAAAATCCCTGTTGATGGTGCAGGTTAGGAATATGTGCCCATATCCAGAAGGTCATTAGTTTTAATTTCTTGGCTGGCATAGGAATCATATTAATGTTAGGCCTTAACCCAAAAACCCTATTCCAGGCATGCCTTGAAAAACAGCAAAGCCCCACTATTACATGTGTATGTATGTCATACTTGTACAAATCAGTGAGCATTTTTACATTTTTAATTAGATATTAATGTGAATCAGTTTAGAATCTTGCTGTCATTATATCCACCTCCTGCATGGACAATGGGTTGGTATTAAGAGAGTTTTTTTTTTTAATCAATGCCCCCAGGGGATTATGGGTAATCAATATCCATAAGTGTGTTGTTGCTTCACTCTCATCAGAGAAACTACAAGAAAGTGGTCTGATGAAAGCAAGGTACTGATAAGTCAACCCCAGGTGATGAGTCATCCTTCTCTAGCTATGCCTCAATAACACCCAAGGGGGAGCTGTGTATCTGTCCCTTAATTCATGTGTGAATCCAGTCCTCTCTCCCTCTGACAAGAATGGAGCCACAGAGGTCTCAATTAAACAGGTATTTTGCCCTGAAAGCAAATAATAAGCCATTTTTAAATTATGTTTAGCACATTTATACGGTTTCCATTTTGAGTTATGCCATGAGCCATACCACTCCTATGCCAACGATGGTAATACCAAAATCCATGAGAAATAAATCAAGCAAGCAAAGTGGGTAAGGAGCCTAAACCAGACCTGGGTGGGTATTTCTTGGCTGTCCTTCTGTACCCTAAATACAGCTTCCAATACCCAAAAAATCAATATGGGAGCCCGGGTACAAGGAAGCAAAACTCCGGGTAATACGTATACGGGTGAGCGGATCTGAATAGTGATACTGATGTATTGATGTGTCTCTACGTTTCTCCACCCAATATCAAAACAATGTGGTGCTGAAATTATATGTTTTTATTTTTACCAACTATCACACACGCAAAATCATAAGACTGGGAAATTAAACAATTAGGCCTATATTACTTGCTGGAACACTTACGTTTCATAGTTGTACAAACTTAATTATACAATATATCTGACCAACATCCATCCACGTAATTATCTGAGTACTTCCTCATCTGAAGAACTCTCGCGTTAAGTTTTAAGCTTGGCAGGAAGCGATACTTTCGCAGCGATACTTTGTAAAATACTGACGGATCGAGTGCTGCCTGAGTCTCAGAATAGCGGATGCTGAAGGGATACCTAGATTAATACAACAAAAAACCGACTGACACATTCGGCATGATTGGGCAGAAAACTCTCCACTCTTTCTTTTCTCCGCTTTCTAAAAAGAGGTCTGTAGATGGGAGCAACGAAACAGATGGGGACATTCAATCAAAGGATAACGTGAGTTTCTCTTTCTTTGGCAATTTACAATTATAATGTTATAATTAAGATTAAGATTGGGAACGACTAGTACATTGTAAAATAGCCATATAACTGTATACTGTTATTAGTAAAGATCACGTGTCAATACTACCGTTAATCCTGACGGACATTTTTGTCAAAATGCAATTTTTACCACGGACGTAGCACTTAAAAACGTAGTCTACATATTACTTTCCTCAATCAAAATATTTTGCCACAGACACGTTTCTCCGTGTGCGGACAGATCGACGATCCCTGGTAAAGATATTTCAGGCATTCTTCATTCCTTTACAAACGTGCAAGCGCGCCATTAAAGGAGGCGGGGCTACGGCGCCATCCAATAGAACGCTGCTTGGGCGTTCTTAACATTGAGGATGCCGCGAAACGGCCACGTGGTCCAACCCGGATGTAAACATGTGAAGTAGTATTTTATGTTGCAAGCCGATCACGAAGTGTAAAGTGTTATAAATGTACGTGTAGCGTGTCATACGACAATCACCGTGTTGTGCGACATGTTTGTAAATATGTGTTTAATGAGATTTAGTCAAAGTAGGATATACGATACATCGGTGGCTATACGATTGAAGTTAAAACGTGGCATCACTAAATACACCAAGGTGTCGTCGCTGAAAAAATTGAAGTCGACCAGCGATGATGCAGTACCTTCGCCGCTCAGTTCGGAGCAGCTGGACCGGATAGAGAAAAACAAACGTGCGGCGTTGGAGAGACTATGTGCCCGAAATGTACCCGAAGGATTTGGAGATAGCTGGCGTAATGCACTAATTGCAGAGTTTGGGAAGCCATATTACATAAAGGTATATTTTACTTCTTTACGTTCCATGATGTACTTATTCTAAAATGGGAAGTTTACATGGTCCTGTGTTGTAAACAAGATGTTCCCGTGTTTATGGTGAAATTCATTAATGTATTTCATTTTTAACGAATGTGCTGGTGCTTAGTTAATTTGACATTTGAGATTGCTGCTCGTGGGATGTGCAATAGATTAGAATGTGTGTCTGCGCGCAGCTAATGTCTTTTGTGGCGGAGGAGAGGAGACGGTACACGATCTACCCGCCCCCAAATCAAGTGTTTTCATGGACGCAGATGTGCACCATTCATGAAGTGAGTACTAAAAGTGCTTTGATGTCTTTTTAGTTAACGCGTTTGTTAACTAGGGTGACCAGATAATCCATGTCAGGGAGGACACTTTGAGCTACTTCGGGCTTTACAAACTACTTTCAAACTGAAAGGCCCCTGTGCTCGGCTAAATAGTTCAGCTCTTCCTGTGCTTTGACTGGTTTGTTTCCTTGAGTGAAAGACTCATCCAGCTGTTTCACATTAGCATTAGTGACACGTGCATGATTATAGAGACTGACCAATCAGCACACAGCAAGAACTCAGCGCTTAAGTGAAATCCAGGTCCCTTTAATTGAAATGGTAATTTACAATTCCTGTCCTAGCTCAGAGTGTCCTCCCTGACATGGATTATCTGGTCACCCTATTGTTAACTAACTGCTCTGGTGTGTTAGATTTTGCTCAGCGTCTTAGATTGTTTTTGTAACTCTTTGCCGTTGTGGAAATTGATTAAGTCATTGTTTCCAGGTGAAGGTCGTGATTCTTGGCCAAGACCCATACCACGGGCCGGGTCAGGCACACGGGCTGTGCTTCAGTGTGCAGAGGCCGGTTCCGCCTCCTCCCAGGTACCCTCTCTGCTGCTGCTGCTGATAATGTCCTAATGTTTAGTCACTCTCGTGCCTTGTTGCAAACGCAGGAGCCCTGGACGGCAGCTTGTTGGCCAGGGTTGGCTTATCAAGAGTGCTGCTGTAGCTTAGCTCCTTAGCTAATAACAAAGGGTCCAGCTGCAAGGAGTGTAGATTCTTCAGGAAGTAAAACTGTATATTCTGGATTTTAGCTGAGGCTTGCTTGTATAATAATAATAATAATAATAATACTTCTAACCAGGGGGGCTGCTACAAATTTTGGGTCCCCCCAATGCCGACCAATCCAATCATATTTCAGATTTTTAGGGTTCCTGTCACCTAGGATGAATAGTATGCCTGTGGTGGAATTCGAACCTCCGACCCTAAGGGTGCACGGTAATAATCCTGCCAGCTGAGCCATAGTGCCTCTCTAATATTCTCTGGTTTTCCGATAATAAAGGACAGAAACGGAGCTGATGCGCAATCTAAGCGGTCGGCTCTCGCAGATCCGCGGGTGTCGCTCCGCTTGATGTGCAGATGCTGACTTCTGCTCCTCGTGCCAGGATTGCTTTGGCAGCGCTGACCGGCCCACAAGCCGCATTTAAACAGACTCTCTTACAGCGGTGCTTTTGTTTTCAGCTTGGAGAACATGTACAAAGAGCTGTCCACTGATATAGAAGGATTCCAGCACCCTGGGCACGGGGATCTCACAGGATGGGCAAAACAGGGTAGGCTGCTGTTCCCCCCGTGGGATGAGTTTATATTCTCCATCGGGCTGCACAGTATCACATCGCAGTTATATACCACATGCGCAATAATCAGCAGGGCTTTAGATGATAGGCGTAAACATTTGTCCAGACGCTGGCTTTTTGGTACTATACAGACGTTACTTACGCCTACAATTTGGTAAGCAGAACAGCAGTACGCCGAAAGTATTAACGAGACATATTGTGATGCCCAAAAGTTAGTTATTTGATTCAGTTCCTCTCTCCTCTTTAATTACATATACCCTTCATGTCACATATGGCCGGTATAGGTAATTTTCTTCCCCTCAGTATTTCTCTGTCCTTTTTTCTTCGCATTGTCTCCCCGCCCGCAGGAGTCCTGCTGCTCAATGCTGTGCTGACGGTGCGAGCACACCAGGCCAACTCCCACCGGGACCAGGGCTGGGAGACCTTCACGGACGCTGTGGTGCAGTGGCTCAACACGCACCTGAGCGGCCTGGTGTTCATGCTGTGGGGGGCCTACGCCCAGCGGAAGGGCGACGTCATCGACAGGGTGGGCGGTGGGGGGGGCGGGGCTCAGCCACTTCACCGGCTGCTTATATTACTGCAGTTTACTCAGATGTGGGCAGATTTCACACTTTATTATTCTTATGCAGTTGATATAATTAATACATAAATAACTGTATAAATGGCTGGATTTTTATTGTGATGATTCAGACTGAGCACTTTGAATGTTGCTTCAGCTAACCTGGGATTGATTTTTCATACCGCCTTACTGTGCAAACATCATCCCTTGGATTTTGATGGTATTTTCCAAAGCCGCACTATTCTGGTACATCATGGCGTTTCTCCCCCCCCCCCAGAAACGACACCACGTCCTGCAGACAGCCCACCCCTCCCCTCTGTCGGCGCACCGTGGCTTCCTCGGCTGTCGACACTTCTCGAAGACCAATCAGCTGCTGCAGAGATCAGGGAAGAAGCCCATCGATTGGACGGCGCTCTGAGTCCATCCCATTAGGGTGCTTGGTTGGTTCAGTTTTGTTCGACTGAGGTTTGAAATGCAGTTTTTTGGGTACCGTTGTCTACATGAAGTTTTAAATTTGAGAAGAGCATATTCTTAAGCGAAATCAATAGTGAAGCTACAAATATTACAACCTTAGAAGTTCTCTGAATTTGTTTTGTAAGTTTCCATGTGGTAAAAAATACCAATCGATGCAAGACATGTCCTGTTTACCACGTTTAGCTCACTCGTGTCCAGTAATTGGATGAACCTGGTTTGTCTTTGCTTGAGTCTGTCATTCCAGAAATGTGTGGAAATATTTTGGCTGTAAATATTTTTCTGTTTTATACCAGTTTGAATATAAAATTTGAAAATGAAAGTCTGCTGTGTTTCTCCCCATTCTGTGCACTAGGGAAGCATATATTTTAAATGTACAGTTGGCTTGGTATTTATTGAACAGGGCCAATTCAATGCAGACAGCAGAGGGCGCTATACTCCAGCCATGCGTTGGGGTTTCCGTTCTTATGTACGGATTCATGCAGACGTCTTCTAAGAGCAGAATGTAAGTTAATGGTATTTTGCTCAGCCTTTGACACAGTACCTGCCCAGCCCACACGACACCTCCTCCTACTGACCCCCCAACCCAGTCATCAGCACCTCTAGCAAGCCGCGCTCTGACTAGTCATTATACCACCATCAGCAGGGAGCGAGAGAGTGGGTGGGAACACTTACTGCTCTGGACTCTGCTTAGCCCTGCCTTGGTAGGCTCCCATTTTTACCCATTAACTCTGGGAAGGGTTGCTCTCCTTGGTTCCTCTAACCAGATAAGTCATTTAAATGTAGTTTACTGTGAGGTGGTTTTGCCACAAGGTTTATTTGATTGCTTAATGGTGATCTATTGAAACATCTTCCACAGTTTTAAGGTTGATGTTTTGCTACCTGGGTGACTCGGGGGGTAGTACTGTGGCCTCACGCCTCCAGGATTGTAGGTTTGAATCCCGTCTGATTATGTGAGTTTGCAGAGCTTGGATGTTTCTCCTGTGCTGCTCGGACACGCGGAGTCATCCATAGCGTTTGCGTCTGCGTCTGCGCAGGACTGCATTTCGATCACTGAGGCTGATGTGATACATGACCCGGTACATTAAAGATACATTTGAAGCAACTACTGACGTGACACGATTTGATTCGACACAATGAGATTCAACACGATACGATGCAATGCAACAGAATGTGATGCTATACAATTCAGTATGGTACAGATTACAAGAGTAGTTCAGAGAGGGGCAGTATATCTAAGTATTAAAATATAGGTCTCATTTCTAAATAATAAACGCATAGGGTGTCTACTAACAATTAAATAAAGAAGTCAGAAATGATGTATCCTGAGTTCATCCTCAATTATATCCAGTACACACTTTTTAAAAATTGGGCCAGTTGCATCGTCATCTTTTACGCCGGTGCACCCTGGTGAATTTCATCATCCCTAGTGTACAGTACGTGTGTGTCTTGCGATGACCTGGTGTCCCGTCCAGGGTGTTCCCCCCCGCTGCCTGGGAGACCCCTGCAAGCCGGTTCTGCAGAAGTGGTTGGGGGATGGATGGATTTTACCACCTGCATTTGCTACCCAGCAAAGAGCTTCTTTGGGCAGAAACAAAAGGGTTAACACTGGTGCCTCACACCTCTGGGAAGAGCGTTGAAGTGTCTGTCATGGTTCCATGTGTCTGGAGTTTGCATGTTCTTCCCATGTCATTGTGGGGTTTCCTGTGGGTTCTCTGCTTCCCCCCCCAGTCCAAAAACCATGCTGAGGTTAATTGGAGTTACCAAATTGCCCCTGTGTGTGAGTGTGCCCTGTGATGGGTTGGCGCCCCATCCTGGGTTGTTCCCTGCTTTATGCCTGTAGCCTCCAGGATGGGCTCCAGACCACCCCCCCCCCCCCCCCCCGACCCTAAATAGAACAACCAGTTACAGAAGATAGATGGAAGGCGGGAAATGGGGCTCCTGGCTGGTATTAATAATCCTGACGGGGAAGAGCTGGGTAACGATGTGTTCTGCAGGTTTTTAAAATGATCTTTTTAGAATCAAACACTTTAATGGTTTTGGATTAAACGATGGTGCTTGTGTACAGTGTACACTTCTGCAGGTCCGCAGATGGGAAGATCTCACGTGCATAAATAGAAAAAGACACACTAGCTAACATGCTAACACACACCAAGCACAGGGACAGTAAACACACAACGCCTGACTATCTGCGTAAGGCTAACAATCTTAGCGGGTAAAAAGACGTGTTTATCGCTCTTAGCAATAAATATTATTTCTTGATCAGTCATTTATTGGAGCTGGTGCTGTTTCTCATTTGCTTGATTTCAAATGGGGGGGGGGGCTGAGATCCACTGCTTTCAGTCCAAATCCAGCCCGTCCCCTGTATCTCCTGCACATCAGTCTCCCTTAACACTGTTTAAATGTCCTTGGTCGACCTTGGGTCCTGCAGCAGGTGATTGGACAAAAGTGAACGAAAGGTCCTCTTTGCTGAATCTTCCCTGCTTCCTCGATGACTGACATGAGTGGGAAAGGGGCGTTAAGTGCCAGGGTGGTGCGAGGCTTGTGGAGTGGTGGGCGGAGCTAAATGGATGTGGCCGGAATGAGTAGGCGGTTCGGGCCGCCTGGCGCTGAAAGTCTCCTTCCCCTCAGTTTTGGCTTCCGCTTCTCATAGCAGCACAATGGGCCGGCTACCCCCGTGCGTGTTGCTGTACTGAGTGCTGCTGGTCCCTGGATCTGAAGCAGCGAACGTGGCATACAGGCCTGTCACCTGCAGGTCTGGGAAGGGCACGGGGGCGGCGCCGGGGCCGGATGGAGGCGTGGCCTCCTGCAGGACCAGCTCGCAGTCGGACAGGCGCAGGGGTGAGTCGCTGAGCGATCCCAGCGTCTCCAGGTTGAAGCTCTCGTCCTTCATTTCCTCCCACAGGTTCCCTTTGTATGAAAAAATGGGAGGGTGTCACCATAGTTACCCTTAAAGGTACAACCAATACAACAATAGACAAACTCCACTGTGATACATGGGTCATGATGCAATAAGCAGTTCCATCCCACAGCAAATATATCAATTCATAAATGTTATTTAACCCCATGGACCAACCAAAAAACAGGCTAGAATCAGTGTAGAAGAATCCACTATCATTTCACAAGCGCAGTCTTGCATGTATACCAATACTAATGTTGATTAGGCTGTCCCTAAGACTGAAACTTGCATAACTGGTTTTATAAGAGGTTCCATGTAAACTGTTTCCACGTCTCTTGTTCACCCTATTTCCACCTTTGTCCTGGTTATGTTCTGCAAGTATCTCTGCAATCTGCTGTGCCCAACAGGTGCAAACATTCCAAAGGACCCCTAGCTAATTACAGGTCTGAATGCTTCTCGCTGCTGGATTTACATTAGTGGTTAATTATGTATTTTATGGCAGCTATTTCTTCTGAAAGTTACCATGTAAGGCAAAGTCCGTAATGCTAGGATCCAAAGCATCCACTTCAGGGCTTATGTCACTGTGGAGGCCGTAGAGGTCTTGGGGTGGCTCCATCTGCTGTTGGCTGATGTCTGGGACAGTGTGGAGGGGGGTCGTCCGGGCCGAGCAGGGAGAGTCGGCTCTGGACACCAGCGGGGCTTGGGCCACCACCAGCAACTGGTTCTGCTGCATGGAGTGGCCCATTCTGACGTGAGGATGGGTTTGGACCAACAATGCTGGGCTGGGAATGGGCTGGATGGCCAGATGGGTCACGCTGGGGTCACAGAGCTCCTGTCGGCAGCTTTCGGGCCGGTCCATGATCAGCCTGTCCAGCTCATCTAAGGGAGATTTGGGCAGCATTATTCTGGGGTAAAAAATTCATCTTAGATATCACCAGGGGGTGCTGTAAGGAAGGGGTGTGGTTAAAGCGATTCCAAGAGCCCCAAAGTGACTGGGGCCCTAAAATATTGGAATATAATTGGGTTGATCAGGGTTGAGGCCCAATACGATGTGTTATCACGATGGCCAAAGTCTCTAGTGACCCCCTGGATGTCACCATGGGTGTTTCTCAATATGTGTACTTCTGTGCTCATGTTACATCATCTTTCATTGCCGAAGTCCAGTTCCAATCCTCAAGAACAGAAGTACATAGGACAGTAAACCCCCCCCGATGTCGGTCTTGCCCCGCACCAAATATCAAGGATAAATCGGTTACATCCTCAATCAATCCCATGATTCACTGCGCTTCAAGTTCATTCTTGGAAAGCAAGTGAGCAAGACCGGTCTTGCGAAGGCCACAAGTACAATCTTCACCTCCACACCCCTTGCCCCCCCCCATTACCTGGGTTGGCCATGCTACGTCGGATGGCCGCCAGGTCCTTCAGCTTCCACTTCAGCATCTCCTCCTCCATCCTCTCGATGCGGGCCGGGTTCAGGGCCCACAGGCAGCCCTTGCGCGACGAGCCGTTCAGCTTGTTCTCCACCTTCTCAAAACACTTGTTGAGGGACAGATTGTGCCGCACCGAATTCTTCCAGCCGTCCGGAGCTGTCTGAGGGGGATGCAGGCATAGGGACAAAATGGAAGGTGTACCTTTTCATTTCTGAATGTGTGCCGAGTGTCCCCCTCCCAACTCACCTTGAAATAGGGAAAGTGCTCCTTCATAAAGCTGTAGATCTCACTGACAGGGAGGCTTCCGGTCTGGCTGTTCTTCAGAGCCATGGCAATAAGGCAACTGGGAAACAAGATCAAAGCCTTCCAGCCTGCTCCTGATCATGTGACTTAAGACGGCCTACACTTAATGATAAACACCACCATGGCGGCGAGGGCCCGGCTTGCCGTTGTCTGGGTGAAACTCACCTGTAGGAGTAAATGGGTTTGGGGAAGACCGTGGGCTGCAGCTCGTGCTCATTATGTGGGTCAAGGTGTGGCTGCAGGAACTGAGTCTGGCTGCTGAAGGAGGCGCTGCTGTAGAGACCCACCGCTGGACACTATGGAGACAGGAAACGACAAACGCATGCTGAGCCTCCATTTTGGATCCAAGTCGACCGTGTCCTCACTGCTGACTTTACAACCGATCACGTGCATTCTGTGGAACTATTCAAAGTTTCTTCACAGAATATTAATGACTAATGGTCATGGGAGTTTTACTTACACAAAAATGTTCTGAGGGCAGAACGAAAAATGACTGGTTCAGAGAGACGACCAATCAGATCTTGGTCAGATGTCGGACCAACCAATCAAATGTCTTGGTCCTGCCTCCTCTAGTTGCGTGGACCTGCCACCTCTACAATCTGATTATTACCTCTCTCAACCAATCATTTTTCTTTAAGTAAAACTCCCATGAGCGTGACCAGCTATGTCATGGACCACAAGACATGAAACACGATGGCTGTGCTACGCTACGTGTGACACCCCTCCTTGATTGTCTCTGGGGTCTTCCTCCTCTCTCTCGGCCGTACAAATTATTATAACCAGCTCTAGCTTGAATCCATCCGACAGACAGCACACAGTCAAGGCAGACGAGAAGGACACCATCCGCTTCATTTTTAGACTGGTACCTGCTGTCCAATTGGGGCCAGGGCAAACACCTGGGATGGTTGCAAGAGCGCAAGATGAGGATGGAGTTCTAGAGGAACCTGCCCAGCTAGACAGGAAACTGCCATCTAAAAGGAGGAAAAGATGTTTAGTTGCAATGCATTTTGTATACCGTGTCATTTACTGGAATTTCGACCAGGAATTCATAGTTATTTCATGATAAAATGCAAACAGGATTTAGATGGGGACACCAGCTGTGTGTCCCCCTGCTGTCGAACTGGTACGCCCAACAGCACCACGGAGCTGAGGAATCCAAACGGCACCAAAGAAACAGAGATGACACTCACGTTTCCATGGTGAGCAATGTTGACGTTAGTTTCCGCACTTTTATAGAGCTGGCCCATAGCGTCCCGCCCCTCAGTGGAGCTCATGCTGTTCACCTGAGCTGAGAAAAGATGCAAAACCCAGAAGAGGAATTAGCAGTGGTGACCTAATGTCCACCTTCAGTCATGAAAGGACCTAACGAGGTTTCTTCAAGAAATGAGTCAATAAGAGCCCTAGCATAGAGTAACGTTTAGCCTCCAGATACTTAATTAGAAACCCCTTATGAGATATAGCTTGCTGCTTAAATGGATTCTAGGGCTGGGGGTTACTGGTTGATGTTGACTCTTGCTGTTGTTTTTCAGGCTCAATTGCCCTTTCCTGGATGTAGACACTTTTATTAGTGCTATTTTTCAGCAGTTGCTTAGCAAACGTTTTTATATGAAGCAATCTGCTTGACTTACAAGTTTAGTATGAGCACCTTCCAGAAGGAGAGAACCACAAAGCCCACGTTAAGAGTACTGGGCCACTGCCGTCATTCCACCATGACTGCACGAAAGCCCAGCCCTCCACGTAGAAGAAAAATAACTGCTTGTTTGAATCGTTGAATTAATCACGTGAATGGATGAGAAGGCATGAAAGACGATGCCTGTGCTACGCTAACTGCAGGTATTCGAAAGTGGATTTTGGGGGTGTGGGGGTACCTACCTCCCCCCGGCAAGCCGCTCTGAGGGGCAACCCGCTGCTGCAGCCTGTGCACATCCACCGAGGTGAGCCATGATAAGGGCTGCAGGTCCCCTGGGGAGCCCCCCGCCAGCTGGGACGGGTCCAAGGTGAGCAGCCTGCGGCAGATGCATTGTGGGAAGCCATGTCAGGAAGTGCCGCCTCAAAACAGGATTATTCATTATTTCATTATTATCATTAATTATTTCATGCAATTTATTGCAAGACATAGAAGTATATTTCAAACACATCTGTCAACAATTCTGAAGTTAAGGTATTTTTTTAAAACTGACCTATAAAAAGCATTAAATTTTTTCTAAAAATAATTTAAAACCATTTGTTAATTAATAAGCATTGTATTCTTGTGTAATATATCCAACCATCCATCTACCACTCAACCATTACATGGTGGCAGTGTTTTATAATATAAAAAATAAATGTTTCACATTAGATTTAAATCGCTGCCAAGTATGAAGCAGAATCTAAATCTGTTACTCCGGTGCTGTAAGAGTGATACGTTCTTATTCCTTTTTATGTGAATGGGTCCCTTTTTAAGAGAAGAAGGGTAAGAATCAGCCTGAGTCACCTCCGGCTCCTTTGTGTGCTCATGCTGCAAAATAAATGAACTCTTAAAGGGGTTACCATGACAACCCTTACAGTTTCGTTAGGTTTTTAGTCTCAGTTCTGCGGGGTCCTCTCTCTCCACGGCAGCCGCACGCACACACACAGACGCACAAAAAGTCCCATGTCAGGTGACCCCGGGTCCTCCCTCACCATTGGCTGAATCATATGTACACAAGCACCCCACTACAGTTTGAAATGTGAAGTGAGCTCATGTTGTTTGTGACAGTTGGCCTGTCTATTGAAAGATGATCACCTATTGTAAGCGGGATTGCCATCGGCTCGGTGGCATGTGGCCCTATTGTCTCCCCGACACCCCTCCTTGATTGTCTCTGGGGTTTTCCTCCTCTCTCTCAGCCGTACAAATTATTGTAACCAGCTCTGGCTTGAATCCGTCCGACTGACAGCACACAGTCAAGGCAGACGAGAAGGACACCATCTGCTTCCTTGTCATTTTCAGGCCTCGTCCCCAGGGGTCCACTAGACCGTGAGGAGGCGGGGTTGAATTTGGGTCGTTGAGTGTGTGTGGGGGGTGGGGGGGGAGTCTGACTGTGGTCAAGCAGTTCTACATGATGACCAAATTAATTTCACGACCATTTGCCCTCAAACCTCATTATCTCCTCCACAGTACCACAGCAGCCCAGGGAGTTTGGGGGGGGGTTTCTGGGTAATCCTTCTATCCCTGATGTTGCGTCTCCTGCCTGCCGGCCAAATAATCTTGACATTTGAATTCCTGCTCCTCCTACCAACTGTTCTCTCATTCAGCTGTCCGTCTTGACAAATGGTTGCCACGAGACTCGTGTGCCAATTGTTTCACAGGTAAACCGAAAAGGGAGGGTGATAAGTTATGGGTCACTTTACATAGACACCCAGTGACAAAAGTCCTGAAAATAATTTACTTAGAATAAATATTATATTAGTAATTCACACACACACACACACACACACACACAGGAATTTAAATTAATTACCCTAAAGATAAATAAAAGTTTTCCGTCTATGTATTTTGATAGAAAAAAAAAGCATATTTTGTATTCAGCTATTAAAATGAGAAAAATAATTGCTATTGTTACGTGGTCTTTAACCAGATCCATAGAAATCCAGTGGCAAGGTTTAATTCTAGCCAACTATCAATTTGCATTTTTAAAAAGAGAGAAAGTGATGCTTGTGTTTCTTTTAATATCAGGAAGTTAATTATACATTATTAATACAAGGAACTGATATAGTCATAAAGCTCTTTCAAAAATCACAGAAGAAAATCCTAAGACTATTACCGGACAAATAGTAATGCCAAAATAATGTCCTACATGAGTCTGGAAGTAGAATTCCGGACAATACCGCAGGTCTACTTACTTAACTGTCTCTCACATCTACAACAACTGAACAGACATCATAAAAAACATTCTGATTCATTAAGCTGATATCCATTCCTTCTGGAATTTACAATGTTAAAAGTGTGCTAACCTTCCAGTGGGGAACATCCAGTCTAGCAAAGCTGCAGTGAGCCCGGGCAGGCTGTCGACATGACCAAAGCACTGGTTGCACGTTCGCTTCCGCAGTATACCCCGCGTCGCCAGGTGAACCGTCGGATCAAGGCGTGCAGCACACAATGGAGTCACCATTGGCTGGCAGGGGGTAACACAAGCATGCGGCCGTTTCCTCCGGGCGAGATATCAGTTCATAGCTCTTAGGAGCCTCCTCGATGGAAATCACCGTTCATGTTTGTAAACAGAAATCGGTGTCCGACGATGTTTACATTGATGCAGCCACGTACACAGAGGTTATTTACTCCACCGCAAATCTATGTTCATTCACAGTTTATATACCTACATTTTCCATACAGCAGATATCATTAAGGACCCCTGGTAACAGCGCTGAAGGTCACGTGACCGGGAGGATGCCCATTCAAATCCCAGAGGACACAGCTGCAGTACTTCACCACAATTTACTACAGCCAATACAAGGCTGTATAAATAGACAGGTTCCAGAAAATGATTAAAATAAAGTTTCTGGATTGCAAAAGATGACATCGGTTGGGATGTAGATCACAGAGCCCTGCGGTCCCTCTCTCATACACAAATGCACAATCTATGGCAGGGAAATAGTGAGCAGTCTGGGGAAGTTACTCACAAAAGTAATCCATTACAGACAGAGGTAGAAAGTTCAGGTCCAGAAGGTACAAATCCAGACCAAGGTTTCAACCAACCAGCTGAGTCCTCTGTGACAGTGACTCACTATACACAACTGGGTAGTTGAAACAAAACTTTGGTCTGGATTTGTACTCTCTGGTCCACCTTTGTCATTAATGGATTACTACTGTGAGTAACTTCGGCAACACTGCCAGCGAGTAACACTTCACACAGCGTTCCAGATTGAACCTACTCACTTGGAGCCAAGAAAATCACAGGTCACCCTGGATGAAATGCCGATCCATCACAGAGCACCTTTATACACGCTGGGTAATTTAGGGACACCAGTTTGCCTACCAGCATGTCTTTGTGCTGGGGGAGGAACCCCATACAAGTTTGGGGTTGGGAAGAGGCAACGCCACTACCAACTGAGCCACCCTAGAATACCATGTTCCTGTCACTCAGCGAGTCACTGCAGGCACACTGCTTAGAGGAGGCAGCACTGACTCACGCTTAACAAAGAGTAGATTGGTAAATGACCCCCATGATGGTTCCACTATCCTTCCTCTAATTAAAGGATCGAACCCCCCCCCACACACACACACCCCACTCGCGACCCTGAGGGTCACCCCTAATCCCCCGACGCTGTGCCCCTTTGACAACAGAAGAGTAAACAGGCATGATCACTCCTGACAGATCCACTCAGTCCTGAAACCACGTGACTTCATGGGGGCTTTGCACATCACATCACCCCCCCCCCACACACACACACACACACACAAACACACACACAGTGTCGATAGCACTGGCAGGAGAGGGGATGAAGCATTTCAATGGAATTATCACAAACAAACCTTTTAAGGTTGTGTTACAGTACCCAAACAAGTAGATGACTTACAATAAAGCTTTTTCAATAGGTACACAGCTATACAAAAAAATGTAAAAAAAAAAAACCTGCTTTATGATCTGTAATACCAACACAATAATGCTAAATAAATAGAGGCTTTTAGCATTATTATTGCTTAATCCTTTGGCTTTGGGTTAACTTCCAAATTTATTTAAGTACTGGATATGTAGAAAGTGTATTCCCAACGTAAGATTAAAGGTCGAAACAGATGATAAAGATCTCAAGAACAAAAGTTATTGGAAAAGGATGAAATGAGTCAAAAGCTTTGTGTAACTGCTTAGGGTAACGTTTCAGCCTTACCTGTAGTCTTGGGACGTGGCGTGCGGTCCCGAACTCCCGGGGGTCCCTGACAGCTGGGGCGCGATCCCACTTTCTATCATTTCTTCATTAGTGAAAAGATCTTATGAAATATAGCCCTACTGGAGCTCAAATATACATTCGTTATTAGTATCGATATTATGTTGCCTTCAGTTATTGCAGGTCCTATGTTTACGTGTGTCTATAGTCCAGCAAAATATATTTCAGCTGTCCGTTACACTGAAAGTGAACTACCACAACAAGAGAATAATATGTAACAATCATACCACAACTGTCTGCAAATACGAATGGCATTGAAATTTTGATATTTAGCAGAGGTCTATGTTAGGTTTAATATGCATCTAACGCCCACATAAAAATACATTAAATAAGTAACTGGCTTTTTAAATTTTAAATGATGAAAGTGTCATTCTATTTGTTCTAATTGCTCGGTCATTAGATAAATATAAGTCTAATTCACAAATACAAATAAATGGAGCGGGTACCTGTACTGGGCAGACTGGATCTCCGCTGCTGACGCCGGCTGGCTTCGCGTAGCGCTTTGATTTCTCTCCTCCTTCCCGAACCGTTTTTAAATTTCCCACCCCGACGGGGTCCGTCCCCCGTGACATGCGCAGTGCGGGAGGCACCGTCCCTCCCGGGATCTCCGCTGACGCGGTTCGTCAAAGCGGATCCGCGGCAGATGCGTCTGCCGGCATCAGCGTGGTTCTGTTCGGTCTCCGCCTGAAATGGGACTCCATATGGCGAACACACTCAACACATTCGGCTCAGGTGAACCTTTTCTTGGTTCGTCTTACAATAACGATTTTGTACAATAACGACAGACGGAGCCCTCCATGCCATAGCAGCTCCTATTATCTATTTGCGTAAAAAGTGATTATTTAAAAAATTCCATAACTTTTAATAATCAACCTTCTAGCACATTTTACACTATTACAAACTTTTATCAGTTTATAAAGAAAACGGGCAAAACGTGTTAGAGTATATTGTGACCGGGCAATGTCTTAAAGTTTTTTATTTGTTTAAAATATAGCATATGTTATGCATATTGCTGAAGATGCTGGGTGCCATTTTTCTTTAAAACCTAGGTGAAATTGCCCCCCATATGTTTCAAATTTGAACAAACTGGTCTCAATTGCTTGTGCAGCGTTTTTGCCGCATTTTTGTTTGTGCTCTTTTAATTTCTGTGATATAAATTTAATGTTTGTTTACATGGTGACGTCACATGCGTGAAGTTGGCCACCAGTTTTCGTCCTATTTCGACCAAACTGATGACAATCGTTAATGCTGCGTTTGTGCTGGTTTGTGCCGTTAAAAAGTGTAGTTTGTGCTGCTTTAATTTTTGAGATGACAACATTTCATTATATGGTCACGGGACAACGGCGTGAATTAAGTTGCTCCCCCCCCCCCCATTTGCGTCTGATTTCGACCGAACCGGTCTCTAGTCTATGCAGTTTAAAATGTCTGTACTGTTATTATTTCTGAGTTATACCTCTTGGTTTATGCCATTACATGATCGTGGTATAGGCCTAGTACTCATGCTGGCTCATGTAAACAAAAGGTTGAATGTTGATTTAAATTTTACGTACCCTTTATTGTGAGCTTGCAAAATATTATTTTAATAAGATGATGGTGGCTATAACAGTACGGACACTTTTAAACGGCACAAACTATTGAGACTGATCGAATTCGGACGCATATTGGGGGGCTTTTAACTTCACACTGGTGTCACGTGATCATGTAAAGAAACGTGTCTGAGACTAAAGGCGTTTTCACACCTGTGTTTCTGTTTCTCTGGCTCGAATCAGTTGATGAGTTTGTAACCTTGCAGCATTTTCTTCTTGGTTCAGTTTGATTTCACACAGAAAAATCCAAGTGAAGCAACAATTAATGCACCACTGCAAACCACATGATAATGTTCGTTCTGCTTACTGGTCAGATGTGTCTGTGGCAGAAGCAAGAAAGTAAATACAGGAAGAAGAGCCTATGTCCTGGGCTATGCAGTTGAACATCTCCTAGTTTTATGTATTGTTGCCTCAGTTTTTTTACTTTCGCACGATATTGTTCAGTTTATTGGTCGAATCCTCTCTCCTTCAGCCGTTTGAAGTTGAACTTTTTGAAAACTTAAGAATTTTTATGAGTTGTTTTTAAGCGCTGACAGATGTAGTCATCTGCCCAAATTTTAAGAAGGCAACATACATCGCTGCTAGACCAAGTAAGACCTCGGTTCATTTCTCCTTCTCTGCCCAGCTGCTGCTACTGGTTTGCGTGCTCTGCCTCATCCCAGAATGCAAAGCACACCTGGTCACGGGAGCCGTTTAGCTGAAACTCGCGGCGTATACCTGGAAGTTGGGCCGGATTGAGGTTGGATCATGTTCACACCACAAAGAACCCCTCCAGAGTTGGTTTGGGACTGGAATGAGAGCACATCCTCTCTAGGGTCTCGGTCGGGTTCTTTTGGTGTTCCCCTGAGTGTGATTGCTGTGTCCACACCTGCCAAAATGAATCGCACCAAGAGGGAAATCGAACCAGAGTCTGTTTTAACTGGACTAAAAAGTGCTGGTGTGAAAACACCCTAAAACAGCACAAACGGAAATTTTTACAGCAGAAACGCGGGACATAATTGAGACCAGTTTCATTAAAATCTGAAACATATGGGGTATCAATTTCACATATGTTTCTTGCACCCACTTATAAATAAATGAAATGTAGAAAGTCCTGCCCTTGAGTCAGGGCTGGTCATCACACAAAGGCACCTTTGCCCGTATCCCAGTGTAACCAACTTTGGTCAGCTGACTGGTTTCAGGTTTACAATTCGAGACAAGTCTGCAAATTAATTTTCATGTTTGTAACAGTTGTATTAACTTATAAATTGTCTGTAGGGTTTGCAAACTCCCCCAATGCTTTTGATGTGGCTAATTTTAGTGTTATGATTTAACTATATAAATTTGCCGTTAGATTTCTTGCGTGAGTGTGAGAGTCAGAAAGTGTGATTGTCACGGCAGATGCCTGAAAGCTGGCAACCCGGCTGTATCCTGGGCTGAAGGAAGTCATTGACTGTCCGCGTTTCAGTGCCGTTAACTGCTTTGTGGATCTCAGCATCTCTTTCCTTGGTAACCCAGTTTGGAGAGACTTTTTTGATGCAGGCATTACAATTAGTCTTCATTTTCTTCATTGTTGGGCTTTAACCTGCATGTCATGCCTTGAGAGTTCCTTTGTCTCCTTGGTTAATTGCATGTAGAGACCACAATTGTGTATCTCGTTAGCAATTTTGCACAGATACACAAATTTACTTTTTTTCAGAACAATGCATTTAATGTCCCTAGACTTTAGTTTTCTTTGCTTGTCTATAAAAAAAAAAAACGGGTACATCAAATTCCCACAGCACCTGAACATAAAATAAATATTAAGGAAGTTAGAGCACCTGAATGATTTTGAGACTGCCTTACCAAGAGACAGATCTAGTTTTAGGGCATCAGATTTCAGAGTGTAGATCTCTAAAAGTAACCCTTTATCAATCTGATCGTATTATTCATAAATGTAATGATAAATGCATTCGGATATACTCTGGTTTCTTCCTGCAGTCCAAAGCCACGTGGTTAGGGGACCTGGCTGGAAGATGGATCTGGATTTGAACAATTGGTGCATGATCAGTGAGCCTGAATGGGGACTCACAAGGAGCTCCTGCACACTTCACGGACAGAGGCCTTGCTGTCACCGCTTACGATTAGTACAATATGAGTAAAGCATGCGTAAAATTGACTTAGCCATGAAATAGAGGACATATCAGATGATTGGCCACACTCTGGAAGAAAGTTCAACAGAAAAAAAGGTTTATTTATTTTGAAAGACAAGCCACAAATTTTAAGAAAACGACACTAATAAGCTAGCCTGAGCTCAAGTCTGAAATATTCAGAAAAACAAACTACATGTGTCCTTAATATTTTCTATGTCTTTTTCCTCATAAACGACACACTAAATGTTAATATATACCTTTATAAATATAAAAGTTCCCCAGTTGTTTTTGTTATCTTCTATGTAAAATACACAATACAAATCACCCTTACATTTATCTGTTAGCTCTTGCCAATTTTAGAAGATGTAATATACTAAAATGTAACTTGAATCACACAAAAGAGGAAAACGATCACGTAATGATACATATATATACAAAATACATTACATTATGCAAATCCAAAAGAGAAAAATCACAAATGTACTCTTCCAAACAAAATCGGAATAATCAAAATTAAAATGCCACCTAAAAGGATTTCTTAAAAGAAAAAAAAATAACAGTAAATAAATAACATTACTTCGATTTGTCTTTATATTTACACCTCAGACTGTCTCTGGGGCGACCACAACAGGGAAGTCCCACACCCCAGAGTTCCAGAATGCTTGTGCTTGCATCAGAATGCGCTACAGCAGGCCACCAACTCACTAAGACGACTGTCAAATGGCACTTCAAATATATCAGGAAATGATAATAATCAGAATAATAATAATAATAATAATAACAAAGCAAAAAACTCACACTGCATTCTGCCAACGATATCGAAACAATAAAACGTTTGGAAAGATTAACCATGACAGTGATAGTATGCTGTTCATAATCAGCAAGATCCCAGCTTACGTCTGGTCACACAATCAAACTTTTTTTTTTTATTTTTTAAAGACATCCATAGCGTGCTCCTTATCTGTGAATCAGCAGGCTTTGTTGAGACATGCGGCCAGTTACGCTCTATCCTACGGAACCGGCTCTCCTCACGTTTGTGGCACTGTAGTGTTTTTTTTTTTGTTTTTTTTAACCTCGGCATGGCCACAGGCACTTCGCCTCGCCAGCGTGCAGGTGGACGGCGTTTTCGGACGTCACGGTTACGTATCCTCGCCAAAAGATGCCAAAGAGCGCAGAGGTGATGCCTATCCCTAAATGCGCAATCTTAACTCCTCCCCCATCCTCTCCACTGTCAAATCAGCAGCAACTTAACAACAAGTCCATCGTTTCTAGAAGAAAACCTTCTCAGGTGTGGAGTTTGGCTGAGTTTGGTCTCCACTACTAAGCCGAACTGCGTAAGGGCAAGCAAGCAGAAGGTATTGAACACCTGATGTGATGTAGAAGAGCTGCATGATTCATTTCCATGGCAAAGTACACTTCAGTTTCCCCTACAGTTTCATAGATTTTTAGAATGACTTGGATAATGGACCCATAATAGCCAGTCTTCAAACAAAGATTGTCAACAAACTGTTTGGAACTGAGGAGACAGTCCCGCTACAGGCAGCTTGTGGAGAAGCACGCATCGGTGACGTCCGAAAGAACAACAGGCTGGCCCGCAGAGTAAGAGCATGGGACGGCTCAAGAGGCAGCAGACATGCTGGGCCCGTTCTGGTCCTGGAGGTCACTGGAGTGAAAGGCACTGGAGTCTCTTTCAGTGGAACTGCCTCGTCTCCTAGACAGAGGCAAATCTCTGCCCCCTGCTGGTCATTCCAAGGTGTAGCCTGGGATAACATGATATGTCTAACAGGACATTAAGGGGCTTCCATTGGACACTCTTAAAAAAAAAATAAAAAAAAAAGATGGTGCCCCAGGCCACCGAATTTCAAAACGGGCCTGAATGAATTTTGATTTTGGAACAGTCATTGGCCTAAATGCTAAATAAGAAGACCTTGTTTTTCACCCACCATTCACAATTTCTAAACCGAAAAATTATCATTTTGTGGTTTTAAAAATATATACACAATCAAAAACAACAATGTCTTAAACAGTGTATTGGCTTCAATTCAGTGTGCAGACATGCAAGACTCCGGAGGATGCACTGCCATCACCAGACACCCGAGGGACTGTCCAGCACATTGTCCAGAGGGAGTTTAACAAATGAAAAGAAGGACAAATCAGATTCTAGCAGCACAAAAATGCATGCAAAACCAAAAAAGCACTTTCATGATTCTAATGCACATAATCAAGATATAATTTTGAGTAAACCAACCACTCTGAGAACTGCTTGCACGCCAGGCAGAAGACACGTCGACAAGCCAACAAATCAAAAAGGGAAAATAAACACTACCTATCATGGACAGACAGGCGTGTGGAACTCTGGATAGTCAGTCAAACCAGGCATCTTTTTTGTGGATTCTAAATTCCCACTGCAATATGAACCACAATAGAAAATACACCTTCAGCAGGTTTTGCAGTTAGAAGGTGGATGGATGGATGAATGGAATAGTCAACACCTACCTGAATAAAGTAGTGATTAAAAAAACAAATTCCAAAATGCCCTAGATTTTTATAAAATAGGATTAGTATGAAATTAAGAAATAGCTTTTAAGATAATTAGTATAACTAAAAAAATTACTGGGTGAAGTAAACAAATTATCACTATGATAAGAACATAAGAAATTTACAAACGAGAGGAGGCCATTCAGCCCATCAAGCTCGTTCTGGGAAAATCCTATTAAAATTTAACATCTAAACAGAGCAACATCTAGTGCGGGCCTTATGTGCCTGCAGAAGATGGTAAAGTGTGGTAGCGAACAACTATAGACGGTTCTAGGAGAGGGTAACGAACAGAACCTTAGTCTTTACTTAAACACAAATTTCTTGGTGCAAACAGTTCTCAGGAAATGACAGTTAAAATGCAATTAGTAAATAATCCATTCAGTAGCACTTAAAGCAACAACAAGTACCCACGTCTTTACCAGTTCAAACACATCTTCTGATGTTTTCTGTTAAATAAGAGTGATCGATAACAGTTCAAGTACAAAGCGTGTCTCCAGTGCAGCCAGGACTCGGAGTGAGCGTGAGCCTCACTCAGCACACACGCCCCGTCGATCAGGGCAGAGCCGGCGATGCCCGCACCACAAGACCAGTTACGCCGTCGGCACCAGCCGCCACACAGGGACACTTCCTGTCGGCGTTGTGAGAGAGGGCTAAGCACTGGCCGGGCCCCGTGTTTGTGACAGAAGGGCCTCTGAGGTCGTGTGACAGTGTTAGTGTTGGCCAGCTGCCTGTGACAGAGGGCAGCCTGCTTAGATTTGGCACACCTGGTGCAGGAACGGACGTGCAAAAACCCTTGGCTCTCTGGTGTTGGGGCCCGGGGCCCGGGGCCCTAAGCCTTTCACAGTTAATCACAGGAGGGCGACAAAAGTGGGACCACAGGGTGATACTCAGGGCCACCGCATAGAAAAGCACTGAAAGCAAAAACAGTAAATATATAAGTACTGTTTTGTCATTATTTATGCGTGTGTATATATATTCTCATATATACTGTATATATAATAGAAAATATCAAACTTTTGGTCCACTATACATAAGGAGAAGATTGAATAAGTGTTGATGAGGTTTGAATTCCGTTTGTAAAAACACAGACAAGACAAGAGTTAAGTCCAGCGTCCTGTGTGAGAGCCTCAGGTTCAGCAACCGCGTCCTGGGGCCGGCAGCAGTGGTCTGAGAAAGGGCGTGGGGGCAGCTGAGGGGGGTGGGGGGGGGCGAGATGAGAGTCCGGCTGCTCCTGCCCACACGGACACGGACTCACACGCACACGACGGACAGACGCGTGGAATCGCAACGTCAGAACCCCAGCAGCAGGGGGCGCCGATGGACACGGAGTGCGGGAGGGAGCCCCTAACAGAAACGGCAGTCACCCCAGACGGGAAAGGGACCAGACGGAACAGACGACCAAAGGAGAGACGCTTCCCACCCCCCCCCTTGCGGCCAGCAGACTGATGGCAGAGCACAAATCCAGCCGTTTGGTAAAGCAGACGCGTGGGTGGAAAGGTGCGCGCTGGCCTCTGGGGGGCGCACTGCGTCAGAGACGAGCGGACGACACTGCGCGCAAAGCTCAACGCTGTGTTAAGGCACTGTGATGCAGCCGAGGTACAAAGATCCCTGACATTCGCTCTGCGTGGCGAATTGGCACTACTGCGGAAAGGAGGCGGGTCCTCACATTGGCCACTAGGGGCCTCCCTTTGCCTGGCTCCACGTGTTTTTGGTCCAATCAGGATTGGGGGGGGGGGGGGTATCAGCAATGCAAAAACATGATGGATACCAAAATAAACACATCCACAGGGTACAGTGAAAAGAGACCCACAGTATTTAGTGGTTTCTGGCTCAACAAATATGTCACTCTCGGGAGTAGCAGCGACAACTGAAGTCACCATAGCGATGGGTGTCCAGGACAACCACCTGAACACGTCCAGTGTTTCTGACAGTCTCGTTACATTCTACAGCCGTACAGCAGTCATTTGACATATTAATGAGGAAACAGACACACAGAGTTTAGTCTAAATAAGGAAAGTAAAAAAAGAACAGAAGAGCAGAATGGGAATGAGGCCGCAGAGTATTCTCACAGACTGATGCTCTCTCCTCAGCAGTTTGCTACACTAACCTTTGGTACATAAGAGCACGACCTTTTCTGAAACCAAGGGGGGCGATTTATGACACTGCTAGCTGAGCACTGCAGGCTGAGCACTGCAGGCTAAGCACTGCAAGCATGGATTTGTGTTCTTGGCCATCAGAAGGAACAATTAGCAAACTCACACAAACAAGGGGCTTTTGGGCCCCCTGCCACCCCCAATCCCCCCCGCAGTCAAACAGAGCAGCATCACCTGGGTCACCTCACCCCCCCCCCACAGCTACAGTGGGGCATTGAAAATCTACAGCCCTTTTTTCATCCCAGCCTCCCTCAAACACACACACACACACACACACACACACACAAAACACAGAAACATGTATATATATGGTCACGTGATACTACAGTCACGTGACATTTGGGTCATATGACACCAGACTCAGCTGGCCCACTTGCAGACCGATCCCCGTTTGGATGGCCAGGTTCTGGGTTTTGGTTTATCTCCAGCCGACGTCGGCTGCAGCCATGATGGGCGTCTAATGGTCACATGACCTGCAGCAGGGCCTCTGCCAAACAGTCAGAATGACACGGCGGCCGCTCCTCTCCGGCTTCGGCGGGCGAGGGAGGGTGCCGACACCAACAGCGAGAGAGAGAGAGAGAGAGCGAGAGAGAAGACGGAGACGCAGAGGGGGAGGAGGGCAGGGGGGGGCGGGGATCTTCAGACAGACGCATAGGTGTTCCCGGTGGCACTGCAGTGCTGGATGGTAGGGGTGGCACCCACGGGTACCAGGATGTGGTCCACCCGGTCGGCCGGGGGCTGGGACAGCGAGCTGAGCATGTCGGGCTGGATCACGCCCACCACAGCACTGCCGCCATCCTCTAGCGCCCCCACCTGGAGCACCTGGATCACCTCGGTCTCCGCCTTCTCCCGCTTGGCCAACGGCTCTCCGGAGTCCTCCATGTCCTCATCCAGGTCGCTCTCCATCTCGCTCACCTCATCTGAGGGGGCAGTGACACCCAGCATAGGGATAAACAAGCCGGCCTCCATGCTCACGAGGCGGCCAATCGACCAATCATTCTGCCTGTCCGTCTTTTCACAAAGGTGCATAGCATTATAAGGAAAGTCCTGATTGGACAGTCGTCGCCGTCTTCTTTACTCACCTTTGTCGATGTTTGCAGGTGACATGGTGCTGAGGTCGGCGAACTGCGCGACGGTAGAAAGGCAGACGATTAGCGGACGACGTAAGAGCGAGCCACCCAGTGCGTGCGGAGTCCAGTGCGCCCTCACCTCTCCCATGATGCCGATGGGCGTCTCGCCGGTCGCCTGGGCGACGCGGTGCTCCACCAGGTAGAACATGTACTCGTCGTAAAGCAGCCGGATGAGGTGGAAGGAGCCGAAGCTGGCGGCGCTGCGCAGGGTCAGGTCGCGGATCACCATGGAGCTGCGGGAAGACGGGGAGGGGGCGGAGTCAGAGCACAGCCAGCCACACGTACTGTATTTACCAGAAAAAACAGGCACTCGGAGGGAGAATCGCAGTGTATAATCAGGGAGCTCACAGCAATCTGATGTTAGTTAAACATCTAAAGCACTGCAATTTGTGAACAATATACTGCTGTTGGAGCAAAAACACCCTCCCCCCTCCCTCGTACCCAGTTCCCTGACCTAACAGGGTTAATTAATAGTTAATCAAATCCCTCTGGTAATTTTATGCCTCTTGTTTTCTGTCAAACCACCACAGTATAACAGTGTACACAGGCTTTGAGACACAAAGGGGAGGCAAATATATACTCGTTTATTAGCAAACCATAAACGGCAAAAGACTTGAATTCAATGAGTCAAATTGCACTATGGGAGAGAAGGGGTGAAGCCTGAGCCCTGCTTTCAGCCGCACGTTACGGGGCGCGGTGACACGACGTGGCAGCTAACCTATCGCCTGCGGGCGATAACGATGATGATGATGATGATGAAGAAGGAGGAGCTCACCTGTAGAAAGACCACTTGAGCAGGAACTGCCGGGCCGCCTTGGGGAAGCTGGGCCGGCCCTCGTAAGGCTTCAGCACCTGGGTCACCACGTTGTCCAGCCAGGCCGCCCACTGCTCCAGAGAGCTCTGCTGCTGCAGCGTGGCTTTGAAGTCCTGCTCCAGGCGCTGGACCACGCCCTCCTCGCATTGGCACACCCATGAGGCCTGCTCCTGTGTAAGGGGTGGGGGGGTGGGGGGCAGAGCATGTGAGTGGAGCGTGAGCGAGGAGCGGAGCGGGCGGAATTTGGTCAGAGCGCGGAGCGGTTTTTTAATTAAGGCTGGAGCGGTCGCTCTGTCTTGCTCCAATTTCGCTCCGATTCCGCTCACACTATGACTCTGAGGCGTGCCAAAATCTACCCAGAATTCATCTGTATAATTATCAAGACTGTTACACAAATTGGCCGAGATGGAATTCGCAAAGTATTTCACAAAGGAAACTGATAAATCATACAAGTGTACTATTCTTATCAAACGTATAGATGACAAGAATGTACAGCAAGAACAACAATGTGGTGAAACTGTTTCAGTGAGTAAAGATTCACTTTGGAATCACTTTTCTCGGAAACATGAGTCTGCTACGCGAACAGGCGGAAGCCAGAGCAAAACGCGTGCAAGTTTTATATGGTTGTAGCATATCAAGTCTATAAAGTCTAAGTATAAAAGCCTATAAAGTAAATATTGGTAATCAGATAAATTAGTTTTGTCATTCAAAGTAGGTCTAATAGGATTTTTTAAATTTCACGTAACGCTGTCAGTGAAATTTTATTTTATAGAGATGCAGCAGCAGCAAAACTGAGGAATTTTAAACGTGGATGCTTAGCCTGTATATTCTTTAGGCTATTAAGCCCACTGATTCCTTTATTTTTAAGCCTATTTTGTGTGGAATGCCATTGCCAAACCTGTCTGTTGTTGCCTATATGTTTAAAAATAAATATTTTCTGTTCTGAGTGGCAATATTGTCATTGCTCACATTTCTTTATGATATAAGGCTTCGGTTTAAGATGACATTTGTTAGGCATGCAGATTATTTGTCCCTCTTTTAAATTGGAGCGAGCGTGGAGCGATTTGACTGGAGCGGGAGGACATTTTAGTGGAGCGAGGAGCGGTGTTGAGCGGCTTAGTGCGAATTAGAGCGGAGGAGCGGGCGGAGCCAACAGCCTCGTGAGCGAGGAGCAGAAATTCTCACCGCTCCGCTCCGCTCCGCTCGCATGCTCTGGTGGGGGGACACCTTCACCACCAGTCATGAGCGCCTCACCTGCACGTTGGCAAAGTCGACGCGGTTGAGGTCGCTGAGCATCTGGTTAATCTGCGAGGTGTTCTGCAGGACTGCGCGCGCCGCCTGCGCCAGGTGGTTCAGGGACGTATATCTGCGCAGCGTCTGCGCAAAGGCACTAACAGCGGCAACCTGTAGGGGGCGAAAGAGAGCCGCAGTTAATCCAAATATCCTGGCCTGAACGTGTCTCTACAAATCGGCACATAAACAAAAATCCCCATTAAGGACAAAATCCCGCACGGTCACAAAATCCATCTGCGTTTATTTTAGTTTTCGACGCAGATTTGGCACATAAAGGCCGCTTTTCGTTTCTGGGGGTGAGGGAGGAGTGTCCCCCTGCCTGGTTCTCAGTACAGCCGGTTACATCCCCGGTGTCTGTCCACCTACAGCACAAAAGCCACCTCATTTATTCCCACAACAGCTCAGAATGTGGGTTCTGCCCATTCTGACAAAGGCCTTTTGTGCTTAAATTGTTCCTCATAGGTGTTTGGCGGGCAGACAGCAGCAGAGCACTACAAAAACACGCTGGGGGTTACTGACTAGCATGATTCTGTCTGGCCCGGCACCTCGTCCGGCAGCAGTACCCAACAGCCCCCCGCAGACTCACCTTGGTTTGGACCATCTTCTGTGGAACGGCGCTCATGGCATTGTTTAGCCAACCCTCGAGGCTTTTGGCAAAGTTACGGATGGCTTGGGTCAAGGCACCTTGAGGGAGGGACACAGACACACACAAGGAAGCAGCGTTTACATTCTCCATACAGCTCAAACCTGGCTGTCCTCTCTAATCGGTACGAAATCCGTCACTGAATTTTTATTGGCATTTTTCTCCACACAGCGTCGGGAAAGCGGCCAGGCTCACGGCAGAGACTACAATGAATATGCAGTAAGCAGGTCAGTGCTCAGACTGATGGTCTGTGCCCAGGGGGAAATAGCAGCCTCACTAGGAATGGGTCTCAGCACATCCGGGATGAGGATCTCCACCAGCGCCTGGTACATGACGTGGTCGCAGGCGTTCATCCAGCGTAGCACGGCTTCGCTGCGGCACAGCTGGAGTAGGCGGGCACGCGGCAGGCGGCCCTCAATCTCGCTCACGCCGCTGTGGGGGGGACGGGGGGGTCAGTGTCAGAGAAGTCCAAGGGAGACTTCTATATATAACTCTCATTTTGGAATCCTGAAAGTCTCCTGCGGTAGTATCTCACAGAAACCACTAGAGGGGGCTCTTGGCGCGTGGGTCGTACCACGGAGAAGGGTCTACCGCCCCTTTTGTTGGAGGAAATCCTGTCTAGTCGCCCACAAACATTTACTAGGGAGCTCAGTCAGAAGAAGCTCCGCCCTTCGGCGACGGTGGGGCTTGCCTGTTCTCTGTGATGGTAGCGCCCTCTACAGAGACGCTGGGGGAGTAGCGCCAGAATGTCTGCCACAGCTTCTCTATCAGCCCAAACTGGAGGTTCACCACCACGTCCAGGATGGCCTGCAGAACACAGAAGCACATGCGGGGTAATCACCACGGTAACGCCATCTGGAGGTTTCCGAGCAGGGCAGCGGAGGTGAGTCTGACCCCAAAACCGCAGATCTGTGTGGGTACATGACTCCTAGCAGGACTGCTTTACAGCAGCTCAGGGGCTTGAGAGAATGAGGCGAATTTATGCGGGAGACCCCTGGCAAGACCTCTAGGGGGCAGCAGCGTTTAACCTCCTCTGAGCCGCACACAGAATGTCACCCGTTGTTCATGTGCACTCGCAACACGCTTAGTGGGGGTGCGCAGCTTTACGTCTGGCCTCTTTCAGGCAGGTCCCGCAGTGGAAATCCCCTTCGGCTCGCATGCAGCCGGCTTTAGGGGCCGAGTCACAGCCGAGTCAGAGGAGCCACGTGGCCCCCAGGGCCTTGATCGCCGGCTCCACACCGCGCGGGTGGGAAAGATGGAGGGAGCGCGACTCCCGCCGGGATGATGGAGCTCCTCACAAAGCGGCGGCCTCACACCGGCCTGCCACCTGCGGCCCCCTCCCGGTGCTGAACGGGCCCCTCCCTCAGCAGCCGACGGGCCCTCCCTCCCCCCACCAGGAAACGCCATCGCTAATGCTCCACCGCTGTGCCAATGGCGGCACAGAGCGGCGGGGTGTCGACCAGGCGACAGGCTTCCACCCCGCACGCTTCGCCTCGTAAACAGCGGCAATCACAATGGCCCCCAGCAGGCCCGGGTCAGCTGACTCCCCCCCCCCCACCCCGTTAATCGGCTTGGGGCAGCACATTTGGCGGCTGTTTGCCACTGAAACACAAGCTGTCCCTTCCTTTAAACCTCCCCAGAAGGAGCCATTAAAGGTCGGGAAGTCTCACAGAATCAGCGAATACAAGCGGATATTAACACCACAGAGCCCCAGCAAGTGCCCCCCCCCCACACACACACCTCGCAGTGCTCCCTGTACAGCGCCTGCAGGGCCTTGACGTCCTCTGGACCGATGAGGTCCACGTTCGTGTCGCCCATGTCCAGTTCCACGAACTCAGGGAGAGCCCTGGACGCGTCTGTGAGGGTGGAGACAGCGATTAGCGCGCTAAACCCCCCCTCCGCACGAAGGCTCCCCCACCTCCACCCAGCCAGCCCTCACCTAGAAACTGCTGGTGGTGCTGGCTTTGCGCGATGACCGTCTGCTCGGCGGCGCTGGGCGGGTGCTGGCCGCCCGCGGAGAAGTTCTCACTACTCATGCCGTCCACCTTCTGCACAGGCTTGAACCTGCAGGGAGACGGCGGGTTACAGCCCCTGCCTGCGTGTGACACAGCCACGCTGTTCTCCGCGCCCGGGCACCTCTGCTTCTGCTGCGCCGGTTGCTGCCGCAGCGCCATGTACTGCAAGTCCTCCTGCAGCCGGTTCAGGGGGGAGTCCGGCTTCACCCGGATACCATAATAGTGGTACTTGGAGTTGCCCCTGGGGAGAGCAAGTGGGGGGGGGGTCACGTGAAGGTCACACGGAGGTCACACAGAGGTCATATGAAGGTCGCATAGAAATCAGTGTAACACCATGAGAGAAAAAGTCCAGTAACATTACCTAACTATAATTAGCTCTTGCAATAACCAGTCCCATGGCATCCAAACACCTCCAGATACCATCCACAATCTTAAGACAGGGACGCGCGTAAACGCTGCCAAGACTCCGACACATTAACTGAATTCCAAGTAGCCGGAGACGGTTCCTTCCCGGGGCTTAACTCGACAGAAAAACACAGGATCTTTAATTCACAAAACACAGAGCACAGCTTGCTGCAAAGCCATAAAATATTAAGGGCTGCGGGCTGCAAACACGAAAGCAACTCGGAGCCAGAAGAGTGGCGGGCGCCTGGTAGCGGCGTGTGGCAGGACGGGCAGCCGCATCGGTGCCGCGGCTCTGCCGGGCCCCGGGACGGACCTGGGCTGGAACCTTCCCCTTGGCAATGAAAAAGCAATCCCTGGTCCTCATAAATGATAAAAGGTACAGCCACTAAGGAAAGGTTATTCTTCTCAGTGTTATGGGGAGACAAACGGGAAGAGGACCAGGAGGTGGCGGCTGGAGCTGGAGTGGCGGAGCGGGAGCGATCGGCTTTAGGCGTGTTCGGAGACGGCTCCGTTGCTTGGATACAGTCAAAAGCCAAAACATCGCGGTGACACAGATTCTCTTCTCCAGAATGATCAAAGCAGCTCACTGCTTGCGTGCCGCTACTCTCTCACACGCCTCTACCCCAGTGACCTGCTTTACAATGGCCCCTGTCTGGAGGATGTACGCTAGGCTAATTGTCACAGCCTCAAGAGAGATGGACGGAGCGGGTCACCGGTTCGAATTTGTGGGGGGGGGGGGGTCTCTGGGTAATGGAGGTGTATCTCATTGGAAAGGAAGGCAGAGGCACGGACGTGTGCGTTTGCACGCTGTCCCACGGACGCAGTTCCTCACCGGGTGCCGAGCCGGCGTGTGCGCAGCCCCATGAAGATGGAGCGGATGAGTTTGCCGAAGGAGGCGGCGTTCACCGGGTCCAGCTTCTGCTCCTGACAGTGCCGCAGGTAGTGGCTGTACAGTGTGGAGCGCGGCAGGCTCACGCCCTCCGCCGTCTCGTAGTTGTCCAGCAGCCACTGCAGCTGTTTGGGAGGAATGCGGGCGGGGGGAGGGTCAGCCACTATCCCACGATGCCGGCGCTGCCCGCGTGAGGCGCTACATCCCGGGGGTCTTGTATGTGCTTCAGACCTGCAGTCACAACCACCACCCCCACCCCCCACCCCAATGGGAGGCCATTTCTACAAATGCACTGAGGAGTGTAGGGCAGAGAAGGCTGAGGAACGAATTAAATCAAGCAACATAAAGCAGAAGGAAGAAGAAACTCCTCCACCGATTGGGGGGGGGGGGGGGGGGCCCGGGGAGGGGGGGGGGGGGGGGTGTCCAGGAAGGCATGCAGGTGGGGGAGAGGACGGGGGGGTGTGGCTTCAATCGGGGCAACTTACATGGCTGTTGAGCAGCGAACTCCGCTGGGTGGATAAACCTTCTGACTTTTGGAGTGTCTCAATGGCCATTTCAATCTGACAGTCCGCAGAGCAGGAAAAACAAAGGAAATTTAAAAACAAAGAAAAAGAAGGAAAACCAGAGAAAACCAACACAGGCCAAAGCGGACAGAGGCAGGGGGGCATGGGGGGGGGGGGGATTCAACTGAGATTCAAACTCATGGTGAGAGTCAGCGAGAGAGCAAACACCGCACACCCTGCAACCCACCGCCGTGTGTGTGTGTGTGTGTGTGTGTGTGATGCCCGTCCTGTCGGCTCTCCCAGCTTGTGGCAGCAGTGAACACCCCGGTCAAACCAGCGCCACCTGGAGGCCAGTTGTCTGAGCCAAATCAGACATGGAGCAGCTCCATATCCCAGAAGTGGCCAGAGACTTGACAGCCTCGTTTTTCAGCCCTTTACCTGTATATCACCCCGAGCAACACACCATGTCTCAAGCTACATGACAACCGCAGCACTACACCAATTCTGCCACTAGAGGGCAGCATCGATCCATTAGCCAAAACCACCATCTCCCAGTCTGGCAACAAGTTACCACTTCTTACGTTTGTGTGGAGTATATATAGACACACTTTTTAATACTTTTGATAAAATGCTTCGACTGGTTGAATACCCATTTAAAACTGGGTCAGAGCCATTTCAGCACAAAGCCCCCCACTGAAGAGTCCCTCCTCACCACCCCCCTAACCCCCCCCACCCCACATGCAACCCATAGCCACAACACTGCTAAGAAAACATCAGCGTCTCTGAGAAGGGCTGGACATCACCCAGGACCAATTCAATTTTGATTCACAAGGTCCTGATTCAATTCCATTTCGGATTCAATTCGATTCAGTATCAATTCGATTAGAGATATTTCAGTTACAGTACCAGTTATGCTTGGGTGGGAAAGAGATTATTAGAGACCTAATGTTGTAAATTGTATAAGGGAGCCTCTAACCATTTACATTAGTAAATATATTAATATGCGCATTACGAATTGTCCCCAATGCAGCTGCATTAACGAACTGCTAAATTAACATGACCGCGTGCATGATTGCGTGCTTGGATGATGTCACATTAGATGGTTCCGGAGAGCTGCCATACTTCCGCAATATTTCACCTCCATTTTGTACATGTTACATATGACTTTGCTTCTGTCCAGCTCCTCTGTGTCCCAGCCCTGTTTCTCAGCATAGCATCTACCAGTGGTTTTGGCCTTTGGGGACACCCTGCACCCCAGCGACCGCAGGTAGCCGGCATACACACTGGGAGGAGAATGACCTGAGAAGATGGCTTCCTGACAAACCTCACCACTGGGATGGAGCCCCGTGGTCGTACAGGAGCTTTGGGGCTCGGGCGTAACGTTAAACCAAACCAGTGCACCAAGCCAGTTACCCTAACGCAGTGTTTCTCAACCCAGTCCTTGCGGACCCTCGGACAGTCCATGTTTTTCCTCTGGCAGAGAGCTCAGAGGGAGGAAAAACGTGGACTGTCTAGAAGGGAGTTGTGAGGGAAACAAAAATGTGGACTGTCTAGAAGGGAGTTTGGAGGGAGCAAAAACGTGGACTGTCTAGAAGGTAGTTGGGAGGGAGCAAAAACGTGGACTGTCTAGAAGGGAGTTGGGAGGGAGCAAAAACGTGGACTGTCTAGAAGGGAGTTGGGAGGGAGCAAAAACGTGGACTGTCTAGAAGGGAATTGGGAGGGAGCAAAAACGTGGACTGTCTAGAAGGGAATTGGGAGGGAGCAAAAACGTGGACTGTCTAGACGGGAGTTGGGTGGGAGCAAAAACGTGGACTGTCTAGACGGGAGTTGGGAGGGAGCAAAAACGGGGACTGTCTAGAAGGGAGTTGGGAGGGAGCAAAAACGTGGACTGTCTAGACGGGAGTTGGGAGGGAGCAAAAACGTGGACTGTCTAGACGGGAGTTGGGTGGGAGCAAAAACGTGGACTGTCTAGACGGGAGTTGGGAGGGAGCAAAAACGTGGGCCGTCCGGGAGTCCCCAAGGACCGGTAGCGACACGAGAGGGATCCTCCAGCCTGACTTACACAACCCAGGGTGCCCCCTACCACCNCCCCCCCCCCCCCCCCCAATTTCTTCTGGTTGAGATGGGTGGAAGTGAGTAACAAGACAGGGAAAGCATCAGATGGGGCAGGCACTCACGGTTGCTGGGGAGGCTCGGTTCGTCTGTGTGGGGGGGTGAGGGCCAGATCCTTCCATGGAGTTTCCGCCAATGAGATACGCTCCAGAGCTGCTGATGATCTGCCCCCCCGTCAGGCCCATGGACAGCCCGCCGCCGCCCCCGCCGCCACCTGCCATGCCATGCGATGACACCACTGTCGTCACCTGCGACGAGCCTCCCTGCGTGTCGAAGTAGCTCCCTCCGCTGTTCTGGCTGTATAACTGCGGCTCCGTGTACGAGTAGGTCCGTCTGAAGGAGGTAGAGCAGGTGGGGGGGGGGGGGTATCAGTAAAAACGTGAGGCCAGCAGTTTCCAGAAAGGGGCTTCTCTCGAGTCTCAGAGACCCCTAATGCTATCTGGGCCGGCAGATGCGTTTCAGGTCAGCCGCTCTGCCGTCACCACTAGGGAGCGCTGATGAGCTTCTCCATGTTCCCTCCATCAGAGGCTAGGCAGCCCATCGTAAGGGGAGGGTCTCTGCAGGCCCCATGTAGCTGAAAGTCCTGCGTGACAGCAGAGCAACTGAGCTGGAGGATCCTACACAGCCCCGCCCCCCCCCAAGGAACCTGATGCCACTTGTAGACTCTCCTGGTCATCGGCAGGTAACTGAGTACGCACACACACACACATACAGACAGACACACACACACACACACAAACAGACACACACATATATACAGACACAAACAGACAGACACACACACACACACACACACACATATACACAGACAGACACACACACACATATACACAGACACACACACACACACACACACATACAGACAGACACACAGACAGACACACACATATATACAGACACAAACAGACGCACACACATACACATATACACAGACAGACACACACACACACACATTCACAGACAGACACACGCACACACACACATATACACATACAGACAGACAGACACACACCTCACTTTCTCTGAGACAGACAGACACAAACATCAGAGTTAGCATCTCCGCCACGGGGTGCTTGGGGGGGGAGGGGGGGGTGGTACCGCTGACTAGATAAACATGATGTCAATGTGAACATAACTCCATAACAGGTGAAACTCCATAACAGAGGAGGAAAGCTTTCGGTATCTCTAAAAATACCCCTCCGTTTGTGAATGTAGATGAAAGAGTAAAATGAAACATTACGTTATTTGCGGAGAAACTTTCACAATATTTGTGCAGAAGCTGGTGCCTCAGGAAAAAGAATAAAAGCAGGATATACATGCTCACACATGCCACGCACACACGTGTGCAGAGGGAGGGCTGCACGTCCACGGCCCAGCTGCGTGTGACAGGCGTGTTTCAGTGACACGAGGCCAGATGAGGGCAGTACAGGGCCGTAGGTCACCACGCCTGGGGGCAGCAGCACCCGCAAAGGCACCGGAGCGGCAGATTAGCCAATGAGGGAGTTAGCATGCATGAAGGTGTCTCCCTCGTTAACGACCGTCACCGTCATTACGCCCTGCAGCCGGCTGTTTGCCAAACACGCCATTTCACTAAATTACATGGTGCAAGAATATTTTTAACAGAAAAAAATGGCTTGAATGAGAAAATAAAGAAATTAGACATGAGGCAAAAAAATGGTTTCAGAATAAAAGATTTCTCAGATTTAACGCAAACTGCGAAATCAGCCAATCGGCACGTAGGTGGCGGGATGATTGACAGGCGTTTAGCAGGGGCGGGCACTTACATGGTCCCATTGGTGTAGACGCCGCTGGACTCCTCGACATACTGGACCTGGGCCGGGTACACGTGCGAGACCTGCTGGACCGTCTGCACCTGCAGAGCGGTATACGCTTCAGACGTCATGACATCACCACGGGGTTGGTTGGGGGGGGGGGTTGGGGCACCACAAAAACCCTGCCTGACCTTTAATGAAACTGAGGTCCGCAGAACACGTAGAAAACACGGCAGCGTGTAATATGAACAACAACTACAATAACGAGTGTGAGAAGCATGGACTTCCTCGTTAAGGGACATTCGTTTTTCATACGCTGGATGTGAGAGATCGATTTTTTTTAACACTGTGTGAACCAGAGACACGGAGCCCGGTGTTGGACAGCACACCTTGAGCAGATAAGTCAGCTGAAGTGGCACAAAAGCAGAGCAAACGGGGGTTAGAGATTAAAGGGAGCTAAGGCAGGTGATGTGTGACCAGGCACGAGGACTAAGGGACTAAGGGACTTGTGCCATTTACTGCTGGCTCAAGGGAAGGTTCCAGACTCCGCCCATCGCCCTCTAGCTGCCATGTGTTTACCGTCAGTTAAAGTAGGAGGCTCTCAACCCCCGGTTTGAAGACATCAAAAGGTTGGGAACCCCCAAGTTAAAGCATCTAAGACATAATGGAGGCAAGGATTCATAATCTGCCTCTGGGGGGGGGGGGCGCTGAAATCACAGGGTAAGCAGAGAAAAGCCTTGCAGCAACATTCATTAGAGGTGACAAATTTATCGATCCGTCGTGGCCGATCAGCAACATCCCGATATCTCTGCATATTCATTTCTCTCACCAGTAGGGAGTAGGTTGCTTGCCTTGGGAAAATGGGGGGGGGGGTTCCTCACCTGCTGCTGGACAGGCACCGGTGGGGTCACCTGCTGGGCCGTCACAGAGGGCTGCGTGGGGACTGCAGTCTGGAGGGGCACCGCAGACGCGCTGTCAGAGCTCGCCTCCGGGGTCTGCATGGTGCCTGGGGGGGGGCAGGAGGAGGTGAGGTTAACCATCAAAGCCAGTGAGGCGACGGGCAAGCAGAGGGTCAAAACACTATTGAAGGATTTACTTCTGCACCCCCCCCCTCTGATACTTCCCCTTTCCCTTGACGTTAGCAGAGTGGGGGCTCATCAATCACAGTCCCTTCTGGGCTGTCGTGGAGCCCCTCCCCCGGACAATCTGCTCCAGCAGGTTCACAGACGCAGCAAGATGGGGAGCAGTGGGCGGGGATGCCCTGGGCTGCCAGCCACTGAATGGCTCACACCGGACTTTCCCATTGGTTAAAAAGCAGATTGACAAGCAACGTTAATCCTAGTCCCGCCCACTGCAGGCTCCAAAACTTCAAAACCTCATTTCCCCTGTCAACACAGGCTGGGTGGGGGGGCAAGTACATACAGGAGGCCGTTTGATAACAGGTACTATATCCTGATGCCGTTGCAATTTCCAGCTTGACTGAACTTGCTTGGATATCTCTAAAAATTATAACTGAATAAATTATGCAAACACAATAAAGCTGTAAAGCTGTCAGGCTTGCAGCGCGAGTTACTGCAGCAGTGAAGCAGCAGTGGCTTTTTCTCACGTTAAATCATCCCAAAAGGAAGGAAGAGAAACTGTATGAGTGTCTATCAGTGAAGGACGTATGAAGAGTGGGTACCTGACCCACAGGTTCCTGGAGAAGCCCGTTTGGTTAGGAGGGTGATGGCTCAGGGGGACACTGGGGGGGGGGGAGACTTACTGTCACAATAATCATTTCAAAGCCTTTAAGGGCCGAAACAGACACGGAGTGAGAAGCAGGCCCCTCCCACAAGCGCTGAGCCGGCCCCCTTCGGTGAAGTACTTTAAAACAATGTAGGAGTCCACTGGGTACATGACCAGGACACAGGCACAAGCAAACATGCTGAGCACAGACTGAGAACATGCTGTACACATGCTGCACATGCACTGAACACACACTGAGCACACTGTATGCACGCTGTACACGGTGTACATACACAAGCTGAGGACACAGTGTACACACACTGTACACAAGCTGAGGACACAGTGTACACACACTGTT